AAAGTAAATATTAAAACATTGATATTTGTGTGTCATGTGGTACGTTGAATGAAGCACTGGTTCAAATTAGATGTTTGTGAAGTCAAAATACTAAGTCTATAGTTTCGAACGAATTAGGAACTAAAATTACCGATACTGACAACCTTAGAATATCTGGCCGGGTACCCTTGCATCTCTAGTATATACATATATAATGTATAATAATTGAAATGTGACTGTATTTTAATTGTCTTGGCTGTGTTTTAGTAGACTAGTATTTTGGTCCTTTGTAAAGACTAAAGGTCAGTTATATATCATTGGATACGGTAACATGAGTGCACGTGCTCCTTGTCATTGTAGCTTCTGTACTGTTAGCCAGGCATGGCTGAAAGTTCAATATAATAAATATATATATAAATGTATAATGTTATGAGATTTAAGCTATTTAGTCTAACCATTTATGTTTTCGTTATAATTTGTAGTCATTCTAGAACGAAAAAGGCATAATTTATATTTATTTCGTAACTTTTTTAACGTGGTTACGAGATCAGTCAAATCGACCAAACCCATACAGAGATTCATTACTGAAAATAACATAAAAATATAAAGTTGTTCTTAAGAAACATTTAATAACTATCTGGACATTATACAGATTTCGCATGTGAAATTTGAAAATTTTCTGATACACACAAGTATTTTTAATCTTAAAATTACTTTGCATGTTGGATAGGCAAAAAAAAAAGGCATGAGAAAAATTATGCTTTAAAAACCTTAAGACTTAATAATAAAATTTGATATTTTGCGCATGAAAGCATTGTAATATTTACTGATAATCTGCCAAACTTCATTAACATATGCTTACTAACTTAAAAGTTATAGCATGAAAAGTATAACAAGCACAAAATGGTTTTGAAGTCAGTCCCAGGGACAGATCCTGTGCTGAAAAAGTTAACTAATTATCAAACTTTTTTTTTTGTTCATCAACTTGGTTAGTCTTCCACTTAAACTTTTTAAACCATTATTGAGAAACAACCACCTAACATTGAATACACTTTTTGTCCTGTGATTATGCGATTATTGTAAATTTAGTTAATAAATTATAAACTTTCAGAGTGGCTATTTCAGACTGATAAATGTTGGCTTAATCTAAAATTATATGCAAACTTATTAAGTTCTATTTTCTTTTCTTTTTCAAATTCAAGAACTTCACAAACTATTCTACCACATTTTTTTCAGCTTCATAAGTTTCACACACCATCTCACTTCCTCTGTCCCCCCCCCCCACTTCAAGCACTGGTTATGTGTACTTAATAGTCCAAAAAACATTTCTTACTAAAATGCAGAAATATCAAAAAAGGAAATTCAGATGGTTCCCATTTTATACAATTTCAATCTCTTCACATTCAATTTTTAGGCTCAACTGTAATAACTGTAGTACCAAAATAGCACAAAATTTTATTAGATCATATTACTTGCTGCTAGTAACAAACACAACTAATCTTCAGATCATTTGCTATGATATTTTCATGCACAAAATGTAAAGCAAATACACATGCTTCAGAAAATGATAAATTAAAACCACACAGCTTTCTCAGTCCTATGTAATGGTTCAAATTTAGTGATGTACTTTCATCCTATAAAAAAACTAGAAAAAACATTGATGTAGTAATTAGCATACAATAAGTTTAAGCCAAAGATTCAGTAGAATCAGAAAAAGCAACTGTGCAACAATAAGTCTGTAGGAGTCAATAGGTTTGTCCTTAAAAACTGCATCTTAAAAACTCTCCTAAATTGTTAGAACATGTATTTTAACCTTTTCTTCAACCTTGTATTTAGTAATATTGTGCATCTGAAAAAAAAAAGATGCACAGCCCAGGTATGGTTAAGCTCATTGTTATCACTATCTAATCCAAGTATGAGTATCTAGTGGAAAAAAAATCAAGCTTTTCATTACATGAGCAACAAAGTTGCATTTACACAGATACTATCAATACTTGCACAAAACTAATGGTCATTTAAATTACTGCTTATGTTTCTATGATGACAAACTGCAAAATAATTTATTTTATACAAACAATATTTAATGACCAAAGGTTATTAAGATATTTAGTTTAAATACTTCAAAAAAGCATAGAATAATTTATATGGTTCACAGTGTACCCTCTAATTTCTTCCAGCCATCACCCCAACCTCTCTTTTCTTCAGCCAAAATAACTGGTTCTTCAAGAGCAAATTTGTCTGATGATTCCGTTTCAGTTTCACAGTTTGAGCTATCATCTTGTTGCTGCTGCTGTTGATTTTGCTGACGCCTTCCCCTTTCTTCACGCTCACGTTTCCAACTCTTTCCCCTTACTTCAGGTTTTTTCTCTATATCTCCACCCTATTAGGAAGGTGATTCACATATACAATAAAGAGGTTATTAATAGTACACTAAACACTAACTAGACATATTTTGATGCAAAATGCAACTGTTTTCATGCTAGCTTTAAAACTTGCCATGTTAAAATATCCTAATCTTTACATACCTTAGTAACCAGTAAAAATAGGTGTTCAAAGACTAAAAGAACTTAAAAACTTTAATCGTAACAACAGCACCTTTTAAATTTTTAGTGTTAGTTAAAGCTGACAAATAGGCATTAATGTCCATACTAATATTATGATGTTTTTCAGTTTTTAAAGCTAAAATTAGTTTATTGTAGGCACAAGAGCTTACTGTTCATTTACATAAACAACGCATATGGAAAAAAATTCTTTAAACTTTAACAAAACTATACCAGAGTATCAAAACCAGTTTTTCACTCAATAAGATTAAAATTTTTATAATCAAATTATTATTACTAATTCTGATAGTCCAGATACAAGACCTTTTAGACCCAGCAAGCACTTTTCAGGTGTTGAGTACACACCTGCATGTCATATGTCCATATTTATTAGAAAATAATAATAGTGATCTAAATTAAAATAATTTTATTCAAAAATATTTAAAACTGATACTTTGCCATTTTGTAAACTTTAATTATTGTAATTCATAAAAGAAATTGAAAAACATTTCCAAACTTAAATTTCTTCACACCTCAGAGGTACCTTGCTTGTAAACAACATAGTTATTGATGTTTTTCAAATTTTTCTGCCCATCCTAAAGCAAAGATTTATATTCTCTAACAAACAATAATCCATTGAGAATTATATTCTCATAATTTTCTTTTTCTTTCTCTGATTTTTTTAGTAATGTTTTTCAAAAGTGTTTTACAACATTATGAATGATGTAAAAGAGTAAATCAAATTATATTAATTTTTTTAAGCCAAAACTAGTTACTGTATAGTAAGTTTATTCTAAGTATCATGCAAATTAATTCAGTATTTTTACTGTGAAGAATTAAAAAAATCAAGGGATATCTATATCCCCTCCGGTAGAGAAAGAGTTAAGCTAATACCCCATTAACTTGTAATATGTTATTTACCTACATAAATGCCTGAAACACACTGCTCCAGGATTTACACAACTGCAACTCTGCCAGAAGGTAAATAAAAAATTAAAGGATAATCACAAGTGAAATTTGGCTTATATATGCTCCAACATCAACATGCTTTTATAACTGAAAATACATATAAAACAACTTCAAAATTGCTTCTTATGTTGAGCACATAATCCTCACACTATCCTAGTCACCAAACTAATATGTAGCCATACAAAAATCTAAACTTTTAAATAATCTGAAATTGAAGGTAAATATGACTATATAGTTTACAATATGGCTGTTCCCACGAGATTTTCTTCCAAATTTATTACTCTGTAAAAGTTTTCATAATTTATTTCTTGATCCTTACATTATGTAGAATCTTACCTTTGATTCACAAGTCACGTTGTTGAATACTTCTTGGTCATCCATTTCTTCTCACATCTGTGAAAAAAAAAAGAGAGATCAAAACAAAGAAATATAAATATCAGATGAAAACTAAGAAAATACATACCTGCCCATAGCAGTAAGTTAAAAGGCTACTTCAGAAATAAATGCAAGTTTCACAGATCTAGATGTGACTACTGAAAAAAACATGATGTCTGCAGCTAAATATTCAGTTGTAGTAAAACAAACAAGTAAACCCCTCGAGGAGCTATTTATGGAAATTTTCCAAAGAAAATGAAGTTAACATTTTCCTTAGCTGAAAATGTATTTCAGACAGATACCTCTCTGTACAATAAATAGCTATTATCTCGTACACTGCAATGAAGATTTTTGTGCATGCCGCAAGCCTTGAATGAAGCTCCCACCTGTACATGTTTTAATGCATATTGCACCAGTCTATGACATAATCCTCATTAGACTACAGCTCTCCACCAATAGAAGGGTGACACATCCTCCATGCACAATAATCCCCATGTGCACTCACATTTGAACAAAGGCTCATTTTTGACAAGGTAAAAAAGATGCATTGGAAGTGGGAAGGACGGACAGTTGTACAAAGAGGTTAGTATCTATCTGAAATACACTTTCAAATAAGGAAAATGTTAACTTAAAAAATGCTACACCTCTCTGCACAATATATAGCTAGAATTCCACACTGAAGAAGGTGGAGGGGGCTGGTGCTAATACAGATATTACAAAGATGAGCTTCTTCCTGAAAATAAAAGCATCAGAAAGGTGAAAAATTATAGAATGTCTACCACTAAGGTAGGGTAGCCTAGTGGAGCATCACTCAGTGGGAGACAGCATCAATCTCAAGTAATGAATATTTGTCACCTAAAAGAGGTAGCAGAGCAAAAGATTGGTGTCCAAAAAATCTTTTATGAGGGACTAAAGTGTCACAAAAGTGGGCAGAATGGAAAATTACTCAACAGGCCATAATCTCACAAGTGTGTAGTGGAGTAATAATTAAGTGAGATACTTACCTGAAAAATCAGGTGCAGGAAGGAAAATATCCTGACCTGCAATCCAAGAAGAACACAAGACTCACTAGACTAATCACCAGGAATGACTTAGTTCATTACATAGTGGGATGGTTTGTACTACAGTTCCAGATAACACCCCAGCCCTACTTCCTATTAAGTGGTGTTTCCACTTAGTTTCATACTGATGGGATTACACCACTTCAATGGGGAATTCTCCAAACCAACAATTCCAGGAGCTTGGGCCTAGGAAAGCAAAGATTTTCTTTCATTCCACCAGAAGAAAACATGAGGGAGGAAATCACATGGGGAAGAATACCAGATAGGTGCCTAGACAATACAGGAAATACCACATCTGCATAAACTTCCACACTGAGAGACTGTGTAATGCATTACCAACACAAAAAACAGTTGCCAGGTGTGAGAGAAGACACACGCTTCCTTTGTTTGTGTTTTCTGTTGCTTTTATTTTCAAGTACAGAATTGCCTGGAAGAGAAAATGCTTTGAAGCAACATAAAAAGAAGGACGAGGAACCTGAAACTGAGATAATCAAGGAAGAATAAAACCAACTACCTGGTGTGCAATTATGGCAACATCACTGACCATCAGAGTGCCTCCAGTCACCAGTGAAACTGCAGAATGTAGATTCTTGAATTAGTCTGCACCTTGGGAGGTATCACAATCTACATTTTTGTTGTTGTTGTTGTTTGTGGTATAAAGCATAGTAAGAATTCAAGTTGAAAGTAAAATTACTCTAAAACAAACAGGAAGAGAATTCGATGATGAGGAACCCACTTTGAGACTAATAATTGCTGGAGACGGCTTGAATGGGTAATGAAGAAAAACTTTAATATAAATTTAACATAACACCAAATGTACAACGTTTCGACAAGGTTTTGTCATCATTAGGTAACCTTGTCGAAACGTCATACATTTGCTGTTATGTTAAACTTAAGTTTTTCTTCATTACCCATTCAAGCCGTCTCCAGCCATTATTAAACAGGAAGAGAGATACTATAAAGTTGAACTGAAAGTTAAAAGATCAAAAGTAATGATAAAATCCTGCAAATTAGAAAAATGAAAGCATTAAGCACAGCTGAAGAAGAGCATTGCCAACAAAACAATGAGCCTTTGTTGAAATGCTAGTGCTCATGGTAATTACTAAACATGGAGAATGTGTCACCATTCTACTGGTGGAGAGCTATAGTCAAATGATGATTACATCACAAGATGGTGCAACATATGTTAACACACATAGGGGTGGGAGCTTCATTTATCCTTTAACCCTTCCATTATGGACTGGTTGGATTCCACCCAGCTCGCAACCAGGAAAGTATCTATGAGAGTAATTGTACCATAATTTTCGAAAATGTATGCAAGTCTTTACAAAATTTTGCAGATTATTAGTAAACATTACAAGGATTTCAATTTGAATACCTCTTGACAAGAATATTTATATTATTACATGTATATGGACTACTCGTATAAGAAAAATTTCCGGCTTTCAAGATGTGATAGTATACGTTTCCTATATATATATGTTATTGTTTTTTTGGGGGGTAGAAGTAACTCAAGAATCATGATCTTTACTTCAAAAATCACATTCAGATTCTCTTTTACATTGGGCATATTTAAATGAACTATGATTTTTTTTAACTCATTAGATGCTAACTTTACTGTATCACAAAATGTTTGCTTGTTGTTGTTTTTTTTGTCCTACCGAAAGCCTCAACTACATATTTCATTAAAATGCATCATAGCTATGTTTAAAATGCTTATTTTCTTGCAGAAGATGATGATATAATTTTGATATAATTACGTAAAGAGGTGTTTACTAATTTTCATAAACTGCAGAAAATGTACTTTTTGATCATTTATACAAGTCAGTACTAATATTGTACTTTGCACATTATCATATCTTATTATCTTGTAGTTTTCCATTTTGTTGTGCTTCATTTTGAGTACTGTGTAAAGTTATGGTCCTCTTTTCTTTGGAAAGACAGTCAATTGTTGGAGAGGATTCATAGGATAGCTACTAAAAATTACCCCAAGGATGGAGGAGTTGTCATATGAAGATAGTATGAGATTTCTGAACTAATTCTCTCTTGAAAAAAAAGAAGAGAGAGAGAGAGACAGGGAGTCAATTGCAATCAAAATGAAATTATTCAAGATTATTAACCCTATTTCAAGGGGTCACGTGTCAAAGGCCATGTCATCGCATCTGTTGACTTGCATTAAAACTTTTATTGAACCGCTATTTTAGGAATCTATGTTAATAAGTTTGGTATCAAATTGTAGATTATAATTAAAATTTTAGTATTATACATTAGTTAATTTCTTAATTTAAAAGTAAGTATTAAAAAAACACAGCTAAACATCAATTTTTGTGTGTCATGTGGTATGTTGAATGCAGCACTGGTTCGAATTAGATATTTGTGATATCAAAATACAAAACATACAATTTTGTACTAATTAGGAACTCAAACTACTGATATTGACAAGCTAGAATATAAAATAAGAACATCTTATCTTTTCTATTTCCTAAGATATCGCTCCTATACTGAATCAAACACATTGGCCCCTCAACCCACATCTTTCCATTTTTGGAAATGGTCCCTTATATACACTTACTTCTAAATTTAACATGAATAACCAATCAAAAGCTCAGAATATCCCCCTAATGGTTTTCTCAGCCATTTTGATCCATTATTGTGCTAATTTCATTCTTTTTACACAAGATTTCAAACGATGAGGTAAGTCTTTAGTGAGCTTGAAATTTCATATTTTTTTTAGAACCCAATACAGCTTTGTTACTGTGCTTGATAAATTATTGTGGAATTCTGTGTTATCGATATAGTAATTTATTATTTTTTTGGTTAATTAAGGTGTATATATAAAAAAACCTAAAAAAAATTTCTTTTTAAATTCTCAACGTGTGAAATTTCATAAGGCTTAGCAACCTACGACAAGTGAAAAACGAGTACAAAGGTCATAACTAGAAAAGATAATTGTTTGCTTTACTTTATTTACTGTTCTATGTTTTAATAAAAATAAGTTTAAGAGCTTATTTGTAAATAGAAATATTGTATATACATATATAATTTATAATAGTTGAAATGCGATTGTATTTTACAAAATATTAGGTAAAGACTAAAGGTCAGTTATATATTATTGGATACGGTAACACAAGTGCACTTGTGCCGCATCATTGCAACTTCTGTATTGTTAACCAAGCATAGTTGGAAGGTCAATATAATAAAAATATATATATATATATATATATATATATATATAACTGTATGACATTATGAGATTTAAGCTAGTTAAGACTAAAAATTTGTTTTTTTGTGTTATAAATTTGTAGTCGTTCTAGAACGAAAAAAGCATAATTTATATATTTTCCTAATTTGTTATTGAGGTTATGAAATTGGTCATATAAAACCAACCCATACAGAAATACACTAGTGAAAATAACAAAATAGTTTTTTAAACAAAAAATTTTATAATTATCTGGAGATTATATAGATTTTGCATGTGAAATTTGAAAATGTTCTAATGCATCAAAGTATTTTTAACCTTAAAAGCAAAATTGCTTTGCATGTTGGATAGTCAACATTCTGAAAAAAAAGGTTTACGAGAAAATCTTTTATTAAAAAATCTTAATACGTAATTTAAAAACCTGATATTTTGTGTTTGAAAACCTTGTAATGTTTACCAATAACCTGCAAAATTTTGTAACGATGTGCTGACATTATGAAATATCATAATATAATTACTCTCATGGATACTTTTGTGGTTAAAGAAACTGATGCATCAGATTTTTGTGTGTGTTGGATTCTGAGGACAGTAAGATCAAATCATAAATATAAGAACTGGAAAAATCAGACATCTCCAGTTGAGACAGTTTTTATTTCTTCAAAATGTTGAATCTATGGAACAGTTTTCAATCTAGAGTTTACAGTCTGCTACTTAAAAAAAAAAAAAAAGAGTTCAGACAAAAGGCTGATAAGTATTTGAAAGATCAGGGTAGGATTTAGTTTTCTGTTTGGTTAAGAAGTTTAGAAATCAGGACATTCTTGAATCCTTGATGGGTCAAAAGGTTCCTGAAAGTTTTTCAGTGTACGACATTTGATATCACTACTGACAACTTGAAAGTGTCCACGTGCACCCAAAATGATAATAGAGTATATCAAGGTCAATACAACATTAATAATTAATTACTGAACTTACAAGTAAACAAATACTACAACATCCGTAAATCACAAAAAAATAAACCCAGCTGTCACATAACTTTTTGTTTAACATGATTTACCCAACTTGTTGATCTTTGGTGTTTTTTCCTATCATGAATACTAGAATATTAATAATAGTCTATTATACTGAGACAGGTTTCACCAATTTGTGACAAAACCATCAAGATATTTTAGCAAAAAGCCAGCAACATGAGAGAGTATTAGCTTTATAACAATATTTCACATATGTTTTTCTGAAATTGTAGCAGACCAAAGATAAATAATTATATTGTAGTCCTATTAAGTACCATCAGGAATTGTCAATCAATAAAAAAGTGAATAGCCCATAGTTCCACCAGCCTTTATCTTTATTATTATTATTATATAAAAACTACTTCATATGCTGCCCTAATGCTCCCATAGCCTGTAAATCTTGCCAAAATTAGGACGGCCATGAATTTGAAGCTAATACATAAAGGCAATGTAACATAAGTAAGTGAAAAAAACATTGGTTTAAGAAGGCTATTTTGAACAGTCAGTAAATTAATAAAACTTTGATAATTATACTCAATTCTCATCTATATAGTATAACATAAGTAAATGCAGTATTTCCCTTGATCAATATGGTAAATCTCTTGTGCTTTCTGCAACAGTTTTCATATCTCTAAATACATCAAATATTTTTGTTTTTCAGTAGATAAAACTGTTTCAAAGCTACTACTCTCTTGTGTCTCTAACCTTACATATACTATAGTAAAATAGTTGCTTTAAATTTAAACATGATGTTTCTTGTTGCTAACTGGTGAGACCACACTATGATTAGATTATGTATTATAAATTATAATCTAACATTACATACTAATAAAACAAGTAAAAGCATAGCAAAATTATCGTAATAACATTATTCATTAACAACATTAACGGTAAAGTTGATAATGTTCTAAGTCTTTAAGATGTTAAACTTAGTCTTGAACTTGAACTTCAAGTTGAAGTTACCAAACACACACTGACACAGTCAATACAATACTTTAGTAAAAACTCTCAAGTCTATGTTTTCTTTGCTAATATGAATATTATACAGCAATTTTAATTTAGTTTTTAATCTTTCATTCCTAGGAAATGAAATACGAGTTAAGTTATTTCATAACTTACACGATTTTGCAAACACCCAAGTTTCATGAGTGACGATTGTTCTCAAATTTCTCGTTCATTAATTAGGCTTAACTACAGTCGTCACAGCTAGGCCTACACCACTTATTCCAAATCCTAATGTTGCGAGATGAAATAAATTTAGTTAGTACTGTATAAATATTAATAGTGCTGACACGAAAAACTCATCCAGCTTTTATATACATTTTATAAAAACTTTGGAACCAATTTAGGTCTTGTAACGTTATATCAAACTCCAGTCATAGTAAATAATGAAACAAAACTGAAATCACATAATCATACTATCACGTCAAACAATAACTTGCACGAATACTGTACCAGTTCAAACATTTGCTTAGAAGTTACGCACATTATGCCATCACTCGCATTGCTAAAAACAGAGTTAAAATAGTGCTGCTTATGAAATTAGCAAGCACATTCTTAAGGATAATTTACTATCATAGTCTCACAGGAGAAATTATTAAACTAATATTAGTCACGATCTCATCTGTAAAATTTTTCTCTGACAACAACTTTATGACGACAAACATATGTTTATTGGCTTATACAGTTTGAAATTATACGTTACCAAAATATATCGTATATTTCACAATACATTACAATGTATCATGATATAAGATTGTTTGGTTTAAATATTAGTGATTAATATATATTTGTGAGTGAATATTTTATTATTTCTTAGTTTTGTTATAATAATAGTTAAAAGCACACGATTGTAGAAGGTTTTGGTAATAACTAATTGGCGTAAAGAATATAGAAAGTAGCCAGACGACTATGTAATAAAGATATAAATAGCGTGAGACGAGCGGGAAGCAGCAGGCAGACAGACAAAAGCAAAGAGAATATAGCTGGTGTGAAGTTAAATCATGTAAAAGTGATAGGCCTAACGACTGACATAGGCCTAAAGTTTAATATATATATATATATTAGAGTGAAACTAACGGTGGAAAAGGAAATAAGAAAAAATAAGTTTATTCCGTCAAAACGAAATTCTAAAGTAACTGAATCAGCCTAAGTGCACTTTGACAAAAGGAACATAGGATCTTCCAAAGACAGAAGACCACAATAGTATATGAATCACTTAATATTGCGATAGTATTCGAGAAAATAGTTCGGCTTGCCAATTGAGATTCTAAAGTAATTAAACAGGCCTAAGTGGACTTTTGACAAGAACTCGAAGAATAGGCCAACTATGCATATACTGATATAATGTTTACGATGTGCTTATATTCTCTATAGTGTGAATACTGTTACGTCTCCGTTTGTTAATTCATTTTCCGTAACTTCGTTCCGACGAAACTTTAGCGATACAAGTCCTTACTTAATAAA